GTGATCCAATTGCACAATTTCTCGGGAAGCCATCACTGAACATCACTGAACAGTTGTCGTCTGGTCGTCATAATGAAGTCAATCTCATTTTTTGTTGAACCGTCGGGGCTCGACCAGGTCCACTTCCTGTGGGGCCGCTTCTGGAAGAAAGAGTTCATCATAAAGAGTCCTTCTTTCTCCATGAAGTCGGCCAGCTGCTGGCCCCTTGGGTTCCGTTGCCCTATTCCAAATTTCCCTACTTTCAGCTCGCCGTTCTCTCTTGTGCCTAGTTTTGCATTGAAGTCTCCCATTAACACCGTATATTGGGTTTTGGAGGAATGCATGGCTCTAGAGATATCCTCATACATTTCCTCCACCTCCTCATCGGGGTGTGCCGAGTTTGGTGCGTAAGCCTGTATGACCTTCAGCGAATACCGTTTGGTGATTCTGAGTATAAGGTACGCAACCCTCGTCGACACACTCCCGATCTTTACAACGTTGTTAACGAGAGACTTGTGGACGATAAATCCGACACCTCCTTGAGACAGATGGTCGCCCTCCCGGTGATAGAGCAAGTTGCCGGATTCGAGGATTACCGTGTCCTCCCCCTCTCTTCGGACTTCGGATAATCCTATAATATAACTTGTCTATCTCTTCTTCCAGCTCCACGATCCTCTCGTCAGTCCTCAGAGTGCGTATGTTGTACGTTGCCAGGTCGAGTCGTCTAAGCTGGCAACCGAACCTCCACCGGAGATTCTTAGCACCCCCTGCCCCGCCGTTACCATGGTCGCCACCGTAGCCAGGAATAGCGGGGCCGCCGGGGACTGGGGGCCGTCTGTTTGTTCCTTTATTCATTGAGGGGTATTTGCCATAGTTGCCACGCTTGGCGAGCGGGTTGGCAACCGCAGTTTTTTTATTGTAATTTTGGCTATTATCAGGAAGATGCTGCTGCCCATCTCCTGCCGGTTTCCCTTTGTCGCCTTTTACGACACCCACGGGAGGATACGGGGTAGTGGATATTCTTGACCGCCACTACACGGCAAGAAGTCTTACCAGTGTTGAAACAGCTAGACTAGTTTACTTTAGCTGTTTCCATAGCATAATGTCGTATGGTATTTTACTATGGGGACACGCAGCTGACACTGAAATTATATTTGTTTTACAGAAGAGGGCCATAAGAGCAATTTATGATCTAAAGCCTAAAGAGTCGCTGCGACAAAAATTTAAGGAAATTAATATATTAACTCTGGCCTCTCAATACACTTATGAAAATGTAATGAACGTACACAAAAATAAAAGTAGTTTTACAAAAATAAGTGATATTCATTCTGTATTTACTAGAAACAGACACAAGCTAGTAGTACCAATTACTAGACTCCATCGAGTCAGTAATTCATTAATGGGGCGATGTATACGCTTTTACAACAAAATTCCAGAAAACGTACAAAATTTGACCTGCTCAAAGTTCAAAAACTTTATTAAACTAAGTTTGTATAAAAAGGGTTATTATAATATTAAAGAATTTATAGATGACTAGGTTTTTACCCGCGGCTTCGCTCGTGTGCGCTTGAATTTAGGAACATCATTAAATGCTGTTCCGTGCCAAATTTAGGAAAATTCGATCATTTTTAGAGTCACCTCGGTGTCTATATCTCTGTCTGTCAAAGATTTTTTTTATTGTAAAATACTATTAGACGTAGATGATTTGTAACATGCTACAGAAGCACGTGAATATATATGTCTAGAAACAGCTACTATTTTTAATATCGGGCGTGTCTTCCGATTCCGATGTATACATATAAATACAAATAGTCTTGAAATCAAAACGTATTATTATTATTTACATTTTACTCTTTACATTTGTTCATAGCTAAAGTTAATTTAATTTTAACAAAGTAATATCATAATGTTTATTTGAGACATTTTATTAATATCATTGGACCTATTTAATATCAATTGGCACCATAAAATAGATGAAGATAATTTTTTTTTTACTTCGAGTAGACTTGAAAATTTCTTAAATACAGTTCTATAATAATGAATGCTACACATGGATGAAACTAATGTTACGGGTTTTTTACGCACCTTGGATGAAAGTTCCCAGTAAAAGAACATATTGTTGCGCGCCACTATTAATGTCTTGTACATGGCAACAGCCGTGGTAGCTCAGATGGTTAGCGCTCGCTGTAAGCTTCACTGTACTCGAGCAACCCGGGTTCGATCCCCGCCGGCACCAATGAAATTGTTAATTGCAATTTTAAGTTCTGATTTACCACGTGCTCGGCGGTGAAGGAAAACATCGTGAGGAAACCTGCATGTCTGAGAAATAAGAAAAAAAATTTTCGAAGACATGTGAAGTTCGCCAACACGCATTGGGGCAGCGCGGCGGACATTTCCTTGCCCTAAAACCCTCTTAGAAATGAGAGGAGGCCTGTGCCCAGCAGTGGGATGTAAATAGGCTGCAACTTTACTTTACTTTACTTTTACATGGCAACACTAGTTACACTAGCGCCCTCTAGTGTCGAGTAGCAGAACTAGGAAAGTCGAAATCCTTCCAGAAATTTCGGGACCGATATGTACTCGAACATTCTAGATGTCGCTACAGAAGAAGGTTCTGGAAACTATCTGAGGCCCTATATAAGGCCGGTATAGACCACGACCGGGACCGGGGCAGTATTGAATTGGCGATACAAGAGAATACTTCGAAGCGAATAACGGCGAACCGTGTTTTATTATTAGTGTGATTTTAGATTGGAATTAGTGTTGTGTAATTAAAGTGTCAATTTTGGTAATTCAATCGACAGTTTTTAATTGTCTCGAACCCCAAGCTCGTAACAATTGGTGTCAGAAGTGGGATCAAATATGCCGATTTTACCTACAGACGACACGGTGGGTATCCGTAGCCGAAATCAACGCCAACAGGAGACGGACCAGAGACGATTTGGTAATGCAACGCCGCAAACGTCGGAGGACCAGCTGCTAACCACGGAGGCCGGCCCTTCAGCAGCTCCTGCATCTGCAGCACCTGACTTAGGTGCTCTGATGATGATGCTGCAGGATCAGGCTCGCCGACAGGAGGAACAGGCCCGCCGACAGGAGGAACAGACCCGTCGGTTGGAAGAGCAGCTGCAGCGCGGTATGGAAGAACAGATGCTCCTCAGGAAGGACCTTCACGCTACCTTCGGGAAAGAGATAAAGGAGGTGAAGAATAGGGTTGCTCAACATGACAACCGCCTGTCGGAAGCTGAAACCCGAATCGACCAAGTGAACAATCGGGTTGACAACGTGATGGCTAATGTGAAGAAAACGCTGGACGACCTCAAACTTGGGGATGGAATTACAGCTCCCGTGGTAGCTACAACACCTTCGCTACGTGGATTCAAAGTGCCGCCGTTCGACGGGAGTTCTTCCTGGTCGGCCTACAAAATCCAGTTCGAGGCTGTCATGAAAGCGAACGGCTGGAATAAAAGTCAGGCCATGACTGCTCTCACCCTAGGCCTACGCGACCAGGCCTTAACTGTTCTGGAAGCTCTCGGTAAGGAAGTGACTAACGAGCAGCTCCTTGAGGCATTGGAGGCGAGATATGGCGACGCTTACCTGGAACACGTCTTTCGTGCGCAGCTCAAAGATCGCGTGCAACGCAGTAACGAAAACCTGCAGCAGTGGGCCCTTGAGGTGGAGAAGCTGGTTCGAAAAGCGTACCAGTCTGTACCTGCGCTCATTGTAGGGAACCTGGTGCAGACATTCATCGATGGCATCCGCAACCTTGAAGTCAGAGCTGCTGTGAGGCTCGGGCACCACGAGACGCTTAAGGACGCCTTGACCCATGCACTGGAGGTGGAAGCCGTGAGGCAGGATCATCGTTCCCACCGCGTCAGGGAGGTTGCAGCAGCTATAGTTCGGGACCGCAACAACGGCTACAGCCCTAGGTGCTACGTCTGTGTGGAAAGGGGCCATCTTCGATCCAGCTGCCCTAAACGAACTGTAGAAAGGGAAGGTGATCGATCTCGAGAGGGTAGTGTGGCTAACAGCACCTCCCAGCAGCAGCAGGGAAACTGGCAGGTGCTGGCTGATGTTAAAAGAGCCCCAAGGATTTCGATCTCACAAACCCGTGATGGGAACAGCCTGATCATCAAGGGCGAGGTCAACGGAACACCGTGTAAACTGACCATAGACACTGGAGCCTCTCGCACGGTTGTCAGTTCACAACTTATAAGGAACTGACTCCTTGGAGACTCCGCATACAACCGCGAACGCTTTAATTTGGTGACAGCCACCGGTCAGCGCATACCCGTTCGTGGAGAGAAGGAGATGGAGTTGAAGCTAGGCAACATGATCTACCTGCATAATGTCATCGTGACTGATATAATGGACGACTGCATCCTGGGCCTATACTTTATGAGGAAGAATTGTTGTGAAATCGACGTTAAGCAAGGTGTTTTGAAATGTGGACAAGAGGAACTTTTCGTGGAAGGGGCGTTACCAGGGAATGTGTACAGCCTTAAGAAGATTGTTCTTCCGCCGAGATCGGAAACGATTGTGCCGGTTAGTCTTCCTCGGAGTCTTGGGCAAGCTCATCGTTGTGTACTCGTGGAAAGGGTAGACAATGATCTTCCATGGAAAGTGGCTCGAACCTTGGTCAGAACCGCCGACATCTCAGGAGTACGTGTGCTGAATCTTTGTGATCAGGAACAGATTATAGAAAAAGGCACATTAGTTGGTACTAGTGAGGAAGTGGATTGGTTGCGTCGGTGCGAATATCTATCGACTGGGACCCCCAGCAAGGATGGACAAACTAGAGTGACCACACTTTTAGAAGACTGTGTCGCAGCGTTCTCTCCCCGAATGAAACGGTCAAAGCGAAGAAGTTGTTACTCAAGTACGCCAATGTTTTCTCGTCAAACGAAGCTGACATAGGAAAGACTGGCTTAGTTCAACACAAAATAAACACAGGACAAGAATTGCCTATTCGTCAGCGGCCAAGAAGATTGCCTGTAGCACGTGAAAAGGAAGTGGAAACCATGATTGAGGGAATGGTGAAGGATGGTGTTATTGAACCTTCATCTAGTCCATGGTGTTCACCTGTGGTGATCGAGAGTGCCAACCTCAAGTTGAGTCCAAAGAAGTGCTCACTATTCAAACGGCAAATTAGTTTTTTGGGGTATGTAGTGTCGGAAGAAGGTATCCGCACGGATCCAGAGAAAATTGCTGCTGTCAAGGAGTGGCTGGTTCCAAAAGACAAGACACAGGTTAGAGCATTTTTGGGTTTGTGCTCTTATTATCGGCGATTTGTGAAGAACTTTGCAGATATAGCCAAACCTCTGCACAAGCTAACCGAGGAGAAGCGACATTTCTGCTGGGATGAAAGTTGCGATATTGCATTCCAGGAGCTCAAGAACCGTCTGTGCAAAACACCTATTTTGGGGTACCCTGATGCGGGCAAGGAATTCATAGTTGACACAGACGCAAGTGATATAGGACTTGGCAGTGTGTTGTCTCAACGGAATGGTGATCAAGAGATTGTGATAGCGTACTTCAGCAAGTCGTTGTCAAAGCCGGAAAGGAACTATTGTGTCACAAGACGGGAATTGCTTGCTGTGGTAAATTCCTTGCAGCATTTTAGCAAATATCTTCTAGGGCGGAAATTCCACTTATGAACTGACCATGCTGCACTGAAATGGCTATTGCAGATCAAAAATCCGGAAGGACAAGTTGCGAGATGGATTGAACTACTGCAGGAATAAGACTTTGTGATCGAACATCGCAGCGGGAAATCTCATGGCAATGTAGATGCATTGTCAAGAAGACCTTGCCCTGAAGATTGCAAGCATTGTACTAGGCAAGAGGGTAAGGAAGTGGTATCTGTGAGAATGCTCAGGACAGACCAGCTCAGCTATGAGTGGAGGGACAGCCTACAACATGCACAGCAGGAAGATTCGGACATTAAGCCGATTCTGGAATGGATGAAGGCCAGTGCTCCTAAGCCCAAGTGGAGCGACGTCTCAGCAATGAGTTCGACCGCGAAAAGCTATTGGGCCCAATGGGACAGCTTGCTGATTCAGGATGGAGTCCTGTGCCGTAAATGGGAGAATGGTCGGGGAGACAGTTGTCATTTGCAAATGGTTGTCCCTAAGGCTAAAGTACCGGATATTCTACAGCTGTACCATAGTGGTTGTTCAGGAGGCCACCTGGGAGTTAAACGAACTCTACTGAAGATCCGAGAACGGTTTTACTGGGTCCACTGTCGTGACGATGTCGAGGACTGGTGCCGCAAATGTACAAGTTGTGCGGCTGTAAAGGGACCTCAAATTCGTAGTAGAGGCGCATTGAAATTGTACAATTTTTTTTGACGGTAGGAGTGGAATAAATTAGACGCTTTATTTACTGCTCTGTAAAAATGTTCGTTAAATATATAATATTAATAGTGCTGTATATAAAATTAATGTATTTGTGATATCCCAACTCTTGCCAGTTTAGTCTGATAATATAATTCAAAGTAACTAGTGAGCATATTGTTATCTTCGCACACAATAACCTAAAAGTTAAATGGAGTCCATTAAGAAATCTGTTGCGGACCTCACTGAGCACTTTAACTTGAGGATGGCTGAGTTCCAAAAGGACCTTAAGAGCGCAATTCCAGCTACGAGCCCTACTTCAAATATCAATCATCAGTTCAACACATTCCGTTCCTTTGTTCTAACTGCGCTTGAGAACTTGCAATTACAAGTAGAAATCTTGACCCGTCAGAATGATGATATGGAGATGAGATTTCGGAGAAAAATTTTGATGGTGCATGGTGTAAATGAAGACAAGAAGGAGAACACAACCGCCTGTGCTGTGAAGGTATTATCCGACTACTTAAAAATCCCTGGTATCACATCAGACTCCATTAGCCGGTCCCACCGTCTGGGTCAAACGGGAACTGACAGGCCCCGTGCGATCCTTGTGAAATTCCGCGACATTGCGATGAAAGACAAAGTATGGCTGGCAAAGAAGAATCTTAAAGGCACTGGAATCACCTTGTCGGAATTCCTCACACAAAGTCGACATGCTGTGTTCCAGAAGGCGCGTAAACGGTTCGGACTTTCAAAGTGCTGGACGAAGGATGGCACCATATTGGTATTAGGTCCAGACCAGACACGGCACCGTGTCTGCTCCAGACTGGACCTGGATGTTATCCCGAGCTCCGAGTTGGTGGTGCAGGCCTCGTCTGCTGTGACAGTTGTTCAAAGTGCGGTAAAAGATACCAGGTCTACACAAATTAAGTCGAAAAGAGTTGCTAAGAAGTAAATTTTTCGTGTATGTACTCTTGTGTATCTGTTTCGAATATGCCTGTATGTCTATTGGGAATTTACAGTTAAGTTATTTTTGGTGTTTTATGTTATATGTAGCATAATCAATTAATATTTAACTTTAATTTACCGAATTCTTAATTTTTTTTAGTGTTTATGTATGCCATAACATGATTATCATAAGACATTTCGTTAACGTCATTTGTGTAATGTAATGATGTAATCGTGCAGTTACAACCACAGATTGTAAAGCAGAATTCTCAATCATAGAGTTTATAAATCACTATTTAAAACCTGTCTTTTTTATTGCTTATTGCGTTTCGTTTATGCAATGAAAATACTATGTCTATGAATGAAAATGATACAATAAAAACGCTATTAACGTAACGTTATTTATAACTAGTTTTTTATAGCGTTATGCTTAATTTTGGTTATTTAATGTTATACATGCTTATTATGTTATTAATATACTACCAATAATACATTATTCTTAAAATTGGCTAAATGCTGTTTAAGTTTTCACTTTATCGTTTTTCGTCACGATTTGTTTTTTTTTTTTTTTGATTTATCATTTTTTTGTTACTTTGTGTTAGTTGCTTTGAAACATACGATATATGTTTTTTTTTACTAATGTAAATCTCTTTCAGACTGCTGGCGGGTTGGGGTTCCGTATATTTATTTTTCATACCTTTTGTTATTTAATAGTTTATTATATATATTTTTAGTTTATTTTATAATGTCGTTCGATAATAGTGTTGTTAATGATGATTTTGGTGATTTTTTGTCTTTGCCGTCAAGTGATGTTACATCTAGTGAGTTTAGCTTTCACAGTAGGTACAATGTCTTCTATTCCGTTAAATGATGCCCTTAATTCGTACTTCTCAGATTCTCTGATGAATTTTAATGTGATTCACTTAAATGCACAAAGTGTTCCAGCCCACTATCCTGATATGCTTGCGTCTTTTGAGTCCCGTAACATTCACGCTATTCTTGTTTCCGAATCTTGGTTGAAGCCATGCTTACCATCCACTTCATACTCATTACCGGGATTTCATCTCATTCGCAACGACCGTATTGGTAAGGGGGGTGGAGGGGTGGCGATTTACCTTCGTTCTTACATTCCCTTTACTGTTGTAAGTTTGTCCACTCAGCCTCCTCCTTCTAATGCGGTCGAGCATTTATTTATTGAAGTTACTCTGTCTCATACGAAAATTCTTCTAGGCGTTTGTTACAGTCCGTCTCTCCACATTGATTACTTCTCCTCATTTGAATGTTTATTAGAAAAATTGTCCCCGTCCTATAGTCACACCATAATTATGGGTGATTTTAATACATGTTTATTTAAAAGAGACAATCGGTGTAAGAAGCTACAATCGATTGTACAGGCGTGTAACTTACATATATTACCGCTTTCTGCTACACATAATCTTCCTGATTGTACCCCATCTTTACTTGACTTAATTATTGTTTCCTCGCCTGATTTTGTCCAGAAGCACGGCCAACATGAGGCTGATGTTTTTTCTTACCACGATCTCTTATTTCTTACATACAAAGTTCGTCCTCCTAAAGTAAAATCGAGAATCCTTCTGCAACGTAATTTTAGTGGAATGGACAAAGAACGTCTTATTGAAGATGCTCGCCTTTTGGATTGGACCGCTGTGGAAAATGCCACTACGGTCGATACAAAGGTTGAGTTGTTTAACTCTTTTCTCATACAACTATATGACGTTCATGCACCAGTAAAACCAATAAAGATGATGCACTCACCTGCGCCATGGCTGACCGATGACCTTAAACATCTTATTATCAAAAAAGGCTTCGCGAAAAGCAAACTCAAGGCTGAAAGATCTGACAAAAATCTGCGAAACTACAAAAAAGTTAGGAATCGCTGCAATACATTGTGTAGGGATGCACAACGACGCCACATTCATAAATCAGTCGAAAACGGCGACACTGCCAAGGTTTGGAAATTTCTTCAATCACTTGGAATTGGCAAAGCATCTTCTAGCTCATTTCAGCATAATTTTGATATTGAACTCCTTAACCAACATTTTACTTCTTCTAGTACAATAGACAGCTCAGATAAAGAACGCACTCTGAGTATTCTTTCTTCAACGCCAACTCCTAATTTCCCACCGTTTAAGTTCACTCCTTTCACTGACTGTGATGTTAAAAAGAACATATTGTCCACGTCTAAAGCCGTGGGTGATGATAGTGTTAGTCGTAACATGATCTTACCAATCCTTGAATTTGTTACTCCCATTCTCACCCATATCCTGAATAAATCTATCTCCACGTCTAAATTCCCCGAAGCTTGGAAAAGCGCACAAGTAATTCCTCTCCCTAAGAAGGCCCAAGCCTCACATTTTACCGACTTTCGCCCAATTTCCATTCTTCCGTTTCTATCTAAAGTCCTAGAGAAACTAGTTTTTCGCCAATTATGTCAATATCTAGATAGAAATTCCCTTTTAAATCCTGTTCAATCCGGTTTCCGGTCGGGTCATAGTACGACTACAGCTCTGGTTAAAGTTACTGACGATATTCGACGAGGTATGGATAATAAACAGCTCACTGTGTTGGTATTATTAGATTTTAGCAATGCCTTCAATACCGTTGATTTTGATATCTTGTTGAGCCTGTTACGTTCCATTAACATATCTCCATCAGTGGTTGGATGGTTTCAAAGTTATCTTAGGGGCCGCCGGCAGCGTATTCGCGTTGAAGATAAATTTTCATCATGGTGTGAACTACCAGCTGGAGTGCCTCAAGGTGGTGTGTTGTCTCCTTTACTCTTTGCTATCTTCATTAATTCGATCTGTCACAAAATTTCTTCTCTCTATCACATGTATGCAGACAATCTTCAAGTGTATACGCAGTCAACTCTTGAGAACCTGCCTACCGCTGTTTCTGCCATCAATGCTGACCTGGCGGCTATTAGCGAATGGAGTAAATACTATGGCCTTAAGGTTAATCCTTGTAAGTCGCAGGCCATTATTGTTGGTGGTGCTGGGATGATTTCAAGAGTGCACTGGAATAACTTTCCCTCGGTGGTATTGAATGGTGTTGTAATACCTTACAGTAGCACCGTTAAAAATCTTGGTATCCACTTCGATACTACTTTCTCGTGGTCTCATCAATTGAAAGAAGTTAGCAGAAAGACTTTTGCTGCTATGGGTTTATTGCGGCGTTTACGTTCTTTCCTTCCCATTCCTACTAAAATTATGTTAGCACAATCTTTACTCCTCTCTATTCTCGATTATGCGGGCGCAAGCTATCTTGATGTAACTGAAGATCAACTAAACAAACTTGAGCGTATTCAAAATCTGGCTATTAGGTTCATATTTGGCTTGCGCAAATATGACCAT